CCTTCCACTTGCTTATTGCTTAACGTCTGTATCTCTAACTGAAGGGCAAAGATCCGCTGGGGCCTATTGCTGTCCTTACTGGGGCGTGTCCCTCCACCCTTCAGGGACCTAAAGCAAGGCCTACTCCACCCAGCCAGGCATGGAATGCACTGGAGGTGTTCAGCCCACCATTGTCTCTGGAAGATGGCAAACTCCAGCATCCCTTTCTGCCTCCACCAAATTCTGAAGGAGCTTTGCTGCTTTTACATTTGAGGGTTCCCCCTAAGCGTCTACTCACCCAGTTTGTTCATTCTTCTACAACAAGAGAAGGCATCAGTGATACTTCTTGGATTTGTTTCAGCTCTTTCCTGTGGTTGTGCATCGTGGGTAGGTATGGTCTCAGGAGATGCTGCACACCGTGCCGCACATCAGTCACCTGGCACTCCCACCGACTGTGCTTTAGCAGTACGTGGGATCAGCATCAGAACCTCCACATTCAGTTGTTTGCTTACTATTTTTCATTCACTTGGTCAGATTTGGTGGAGAGGGCAATTCTGGGGTCTAGGCTTATTTCACACTATCTTTACCTGGAAACTCTCTACGTTTATGGATCTTGAATATGAAAACAGAACAGTGCTGCTTACGAGCTGAGAGTCCTCAGACAAAGACCTTGCACTCTATGGGAATGTGGTGATGATCAAGAGAGATAACACATAATCTTTAAGAGAGGCATAAACCTAAGCTACTAGTTCGTATTTACTTTTATATGAGCAGCTCCTAATACACTCTAGACCTTGTAGGTTACACCATGTGTAAGAGTAATGAGCTGCTGATCTGAAATTAATTTTTCCCCAGACTCTCCTGTGTCTTGGTATAAAAGCAGCAAATGCCTTTGGGTCTGGCTTTGCATGTTAAAGTACAGGCAGGACCTCCTCATGTGTGTAAAACTAGGTGTGCAGGCAGCTTTTGCCCTTGGGGATAGGACCCTTGAGAGGATCTTCTGTTGGTTTTATGAGACTGCTCCTCCCCTGGGCAGACAGGGCAGTTCCCTTAAGGAGCTCCAGAGCCTCCTGCAGCAATTTAAAGTCAGCAAACCTGTTCGGTCAGCCCAGGAGCCATTGACCAAGATTTGTTGGCAGGAAAGTTCACTAAAAACCTCAAAGGAGACATGTGTGAAGGAGGCAGGAATCTGAGCTGAGGGCCTGGGCACCATACAGGCCTTTTAAGACTTTAGAGTTGATGGGGTCAGTCAGCTCCAGCTCAGTTTTGGGCTGAGGCTGGAAGCCTCTGAGACACAGCACATTCTATAACATGAAGCTGTCTGTAGGCTCAACCCTGGTACCCAGGCCACCCTTTCCCTTCTCGTGGTTTAGGATGTGTATTCGTTCATATATTTATTCATTAATTTACACCGTCTACAAATACCTGTTTCTCTCTACCATGTTTCACACATCAGGCACTGAGAATAACGCAGCACACATGACAGGCAAGATCAGTGCATCCGTGGAACTTTAGCCTTTGGTTGGCTAGAGAGATACCAGCAAGTACACATGTTGGGTATTTACAGATTGTGATCACTGATGTTTTAGGCAAGAGATGGAGAAAAGTGAAACTGGAAGTTTAGTCTTAGTTTCAAGAGAGTCATTGAGGAAGACTCCCCTGAGGAGGGTGTTTGAGCTGAAACTGAATAAGGAAGATAAATTGGCTTTTCAGGAGCTGAAGGAAGATCCAGAATAGGAAGAGAAATTTGAAAACCAAGTCTCACATTCAGCTTTGCCGGAGCTACCAGTGTAAATTTTTCGATTAACTGAATTTCCAAATATCTGATATTTTGTAAGACAAACTGTAAGGAAAAAATGTTGCCTGCCATCCCATTTCTACAAGGATCAAGCCATTGGCTAGTGCAGTCACGCACTGACTTATGTAAAATTCGAACATGAATCTGATCAAGCCTCTCAACCAGGAGGTGGGAAACTTTTTCTTAGCAGCCCCAATAATAAATATTTTAGGCTTGTGGGCCACATGTTTTCCAATGACACAACTCAACTCTGCCACTGTAACTCAAAAACAACCACAGGGCTTCCCTGGTGGCGCAGTGGTTGGGAGTCCGCCTGCCGATGCAGGGGACACGGGTTCGTGCCCCGGTCCAGGAAGATCCCACATGACGCGGAGCGGCTGGGCCCGTGAGCCATGGCCGCTGAGCCTGTGCGTCTGGAGCCTGTGCAAACAACCACAGATACTATGGACACAAACGGACACCGCTGTGTTCCAGTAAAACTTTATTTATGTAAGTGGGGCTGGCCCACAGGCCATAGTTTGCCAGTCCCTGCTGTAGAATCCAGATCTAACTTCCAATTTACACGAAATATAGAGAACAGAGGAATACATTTAATGACACCACAGGGATTCAATCAGCAAAACTCAGATTGTTTTGAAGGAAACACATTCTGTACTGTGGAGAAACTGTTCAGGACAAAGTACCTAGTTTCTTCAACAAAAAAGCAGCAAGAGATAAAAAGAATTGGAAAAGAAACTCAACATTATATGAGACATAAAATTCATATCAAGCAATCAAAATATTTGGGTTTTAATAAAAGACCAATTCCAACAAACAGTGAAAAAATAAGACAATTATGGAAACGAATAATGACATTAAGAATTACTTCTTTTGGGTATGATAATGGTGCCTTGTGGTTATGTTTTCAAAACGATTTACATCGTTAGGGATACATGTTAAAAAACAGATGGAATGATATGATGTCTGTGATTTGCTTCAAAATAATCTGGGGTGAAGCGGGGGTGTGGCTATAGATAAAATTAGATTGACTGAGTTGGCTGTTACTGAGCTTGGGTAATGGCTGCATGAGGGCTCGTTGTACTGTTCTCTCTACTTTTGCATATCTCTGAACTTTTCCATAATTAAAAGTTAAAACAAACATAAAATATACTTCAGATTCAGTGGCAGAGATGAAAAATGTAGGCGTGGATGAAGAAAAACAGGTTTAGTTTGATGGACGGGAGTCCTTTGGAACAATTAAGAGCAGTTAGGTTGATGGGATTTAAACTTGTTTGTCCCTTAGAATTAAAGAGAAGTTGGAGTGAATCAGACCCACCCTGCCTCTCTGAGTAACTCATCACCTCCCAACCCTCTCAGAGGGAAGGAAGACCAAGGGAGCCAGGACTTGGGGCTGAGGACACTGCTAAATGCGTACTAAATATGTGTACGCCCTTCCTTGTAGCAGAGTCTTGATCTCTTCAGAGATGCCAGGGCCCATTTAAAAATATTCAGCCCTTCAGACCCTCTGGCAGCTAGAGTTGGCCAGGTGAGCTAATTTTGGCCACTGAAATATAATAGAAGCCTAATGGTCAGGGTTCCCAGAAAATATATTATTTTCTGCATTAGAAGGGACATAATTCAGCAGGTGTATTCATTCTAGCTTATTCTCGCAGAGGTGTTAATTATAGTGCCTGAAGCAGTAGTACCAGTCTTGTAACCACAAAGATAAAAGTGAAACATCACGATGGGAGGGGTGGGGGCCACGGGGGTGGGGAGAGAGCAAGAGAGAGATGGAGGGCAAGGGAGGAAGGGAGCGAGAGAGGGAGAGAATGGATTTGCATGAACGAACCTGGTCATCATGAAGCAGGGACTCAGTGCCCCAGGCCTGATTATCTTGCCCGGACTTCATTACATGAGAAAAATAAACTCCTACATGGTCAGTCCACTATGGTAAGGCTTCTGTTACGTGTGGCCAAGCACAGTGAGTCACTGATAACAAGTTATCTAGAAGCCCAGATGTCCAAAACTAAACTCCTGACCTCCTCTAATCTGTCTTCTCATAGACTTTCACAGCTCCTTACGTGGCAACACTCACCTTTTTTTTTTTTGCGATACGCAGGCCTCTCACTGCTGTGGCCTCTCCCGCTGCGGAGCGCAGGCTCCGGACGCGCAGGCTCAGCGGCCACGGCTCACGGGCCCAGCCGCTCCGCGGCACGTGGGATCCTCCCGGACGGGGGCACGAACCCGTGTCCCCTGCATCGGCAGGCGGACTCTCAACCACTGCGCCGCCAGGGAAGCCCCAACACTCACCTTTAAGGCATTCGACCACCAAAATGCTTGACCCCTCTTCTCGCCCCCTCACTCCACATTCAGTCCATGATCCAAGCCCAAAGGCAGGAAGGAGGAAGGGGCGGAGGTATGTGTCTCTCTCAGGCTGTGTCTCTGGCCATCACTGTGTCTTCTCTTAGGCTCCAGGTCCCATCAGACAGCCCCCGCATCTGGGGTCCCGGCTCCTGCTGGACAGGCCTCCACCAGGTGGCTGCAGCCCCTGGGCTGCTGGACCACCACTGCCTCTGCCAGTCCTGCTGCTGGTCATCTCCTGGCTACCCCGCTGCCTCCTGTGCAGCTTTCAGCTCTTGTGTCGCCTGCTTAGTCAGCTCCCCATATTAAGTCCCTTCTCTTTGAAACACCAATTAATGCTGACCAGGCCTGATTGATAATCCTTCCCTGATGACCCTAACTAAAATATTCTCCACTCCCCTCGCTGTCACTTTATCACTTATCCTGCTTTACTTTCCTTGTAGCTCTTATCAATACCTGCTAGAGTATGTATCTATTTGTTTCCTTAGTTGCCTAATTTTCCACTGGAATATAAGTGTCAAGACAGCAAGGGTCTTCTGTACGGGGCCTGGCACATGGTATGTGCCTCAAACAAAGAAACAAATGCTTTTCCATTCCTTTAAGAGAGATTGACACACACTCTCCAAGTCTCAGGCACTAGACAGATTGATGACTAAGACAAGTTTTTCTAATAGATAGACTGTTGCTTTGGCCACAGGTGGGAGTGGCAGTGAGAACCCAGCCGCTCTTGGGCTTCAGTGCATTTTAATTGCCCTATTTTCTATTTGTAGTGGTTCTGAAAGGCAGTGGAAAATCATGTGTATTAAAGTGGAAGCTCACCGAAGAGGGGGATCAGATCTATTGTGAACACGCATCAGACTCCCCATAGGGAAACACCACTCACCTGACCTGGAGAGGGATCTTGGGCACCTTCTTAGAGACCTTGAACCGGCTTCTGTCCCCACAGGTATCAGTGAAGTACACACCAGCCACACTGGTCACCTGGTTCCCTGGGAACTTGGACAGCACCTTGTCGTGACCATGCTGACTGGCCCAATACCAGGCTTGGCCCCCCATGAGCAGGCCCCCTCCACATTTCACAAACTGGATCAGCTCTGCAGTCATGGTGTCATTGTAGGCATTGATGCAGTAAACCCCCAGGGGTTCTCTCGGTTCTGGCTGAATCTGTGCCTCAACCCCAGAGCCCTGCAGGATGTTTGCTAGTGATGCCAGGGATGGGTGCACTCCAGTGGGAGCCCCAGGAGAGGGACAGAGCCAGCCCACTGCATTGAGAAGAAATGGGGCCAAGCCGGCGTCCAGCAGGTAGCCCTCATGGGACACAACCACAAGGCGGCCTCGGCCATAGGAGGACGCAGCAATGAGGACCTGGCCCTGATCATTCACCATCACCGGGAAGGCAGCCTCTCCAGTTAGAAGGAGTTCACTGGGGACGGGGTCTTCAGGGACATCCCAGCTTGTCACTCCATCCATGAGGGCCTCAAAGGCAGCAGCAGGAGTTGTCACCATGGTTCAGTCAGCTGCAGGAGAAGAAAGCAAAGACTGAGCTTGGTCAGAACAAATGAAGGAATGAGTGAAAACAAAAACAACTAAATGCATTCAGATGACAACTACTCGTCAGGTTCCCCACTGTGTGCCACGGCCTGGGGGTGCAGCAAGGAACACAACAGACAAGGTCCCTGCTTTCACGAGTCTAATATTTGAGAAGGGGAAGGACAATAATTAGATAGGTAGATAAACATAAAATGCAGCAATTAATAAGTGTTAGATGAAAATAAAACATAGTGATGTGATATCGAGCAACCGGAAAGTTACTTTAGATTGGGTGACAGAAGAGGCCTACAGGAAAAAGTGACCCTGAAGCTGAAACCTGACATTTAAGTTGAGGCCTGAAATGCTGCAGGAGAGCATTTTGGCAGTGAGAAGCCCCAGGGTGGCTGGAGGAACACACAGGGAGGAGCAGGACCTGAATGGAGTGAGGGCGGGGCGGGATCCCACAGAGCAGGTAGATCAAGGTGAGAGTCGACCTGAGCTGACTTAGTATTTTCTTCTCTGGAAGAAAAGGTCAGTTGACCTTTCAGAAACTAAATTTGTTCTGGTAGCTTTGACCAAGTGAATTGGAAACGCCTCCCAATTTATCATATCTGCCCTAACTAGGGAGCTCCCCGCCTCTACTTGGGGAGCATCCTGAGGTTTACCAGGTCTTTTAAAATTTGGTGTGCCTAGAACTGAGTTAATTATTCCCTTCCGAGCAGCTCCTCTTGGATAAATTACTTACACTTTAGTCTCTCCATTTACATAAAGAGAATAGTACAGCCCTTGGAGGATTGTTTCTGAAGATGAAGAGAATGCAAATAAAAATGCCTTGTCCAGTGTCAGGTATACAATGAGCACTGAGAAAACACTAGTGTCTGTCCCTCTGCTGTCTTTTCTAGCTTCCTAAGTGACAAGAGCCATGTGGTAGGTGCCCTGGGTGCCCCGGACCGCCTCTGACTCCGGCAACTGCCCTGGAGGACTTAACTGGGCACTGGGAAACCTTTCTCATCTGGCAGGTGCCCTGAAGTGGCGGTGAGCTGATACAGGGTAAGCTTCACCCGGGGGAGGCCGTCACGGATAAATGCCACAGGGCGGTCCTGGGCGCATTCTGGAGCCCCTCACAAGGTCACCCAAGGAACTGGGTTCCAGCTGCCCACAGCGGTAAACAGCTCAGCGACAGGCCCTTCCTTGCTGGCTTCCCCTCCTTCCTGGTCTCTTCCTCCCCATGTCCTCACTGTGCAGTACTGGGCTCACTTCCCAGATAAACTACTACCTACACTCAGGTCCTTCGATCAGGTTTTGCTTTGGGGAACAATCTAAACTGACAGACACCAAACCCTTCCCTTCCACTGCATCTGCCTCCGTCCTTCCTCCCTCCTGCTTCCGAACACCGTCAGCCACCTCATTTTGTTCGTCGTCTTTCACGTATCTGTCAGATATCAGTCCCTTCAGTTTACGTTCATATCTAGTTGAAACCAATCTGGTTTCTGTCCCCAGGATACATTCCCACCAACAATCTCCCTCAAAGCCATCCTACTCACACATCGTCCTAATCAGAACCCTCAGGTTCATCCACTCCCCCAGGTAAAAACTGAGTGGCTCACCCTGGATTTTAAGCCTCCAGGGTACGGGCTCTCCACAGTATTTTAGACTTCTTCCCTTCACTTTCTCCACCAAATCTCTGGTACGCTTGGCTCCCTGAGCATGCCCTGTATTCCTTGTAAAGTTCCAGCTCCTTTTTTTTTTTTTCTTGGTTTTAAACTGCCGTTCCCATCTACCACCTCTTTCTTTTTTTTTTTTTTTTTTTTTTTTTTTTTTTTTGCAGTACGTGGGCCTCTCACTGTTGTGGCCTCTCCCATTGTGGAGCACAGGCTCTGCACGCACAGGCTCAGCGGCCATGGCTCACGGGCCCAGCCGCTCCGCGGCATGTGGGATCTTCCCAGACCGGGGCACGAACCCGTGTCCCCTGCATCGGCAGGCGGACTCTCAACCACTGCGCCACCAGGGAAGCCCTACCACCTCTTTCTTAATATTGCCCCCAGTAAAGTGAATTCACAAAAAAGCACCAGTTCCCAGCTGGAGTATGGAGCCCGTGGGTGAGTGAGCTCAGCTTGCGGGTTTGGGGTAGGAAAAGGCAGCGAGAGATCAGGAAGCCTGAGGTCAAGCCACCCACCTCTGACAGGACGAGGGAGGTCTTTCACGAATCCGGGCCTCCCTAGTTTTACAGGAAAAGCACCAAAAAACCCAGGAGATGAGTAATAAATATGTTCCCTGAACTTTGACCACAACACTCCATAACTACGTGACCGCGCGCGCGCACCCAGAATCACACCCACACACAATCACACATCTTTTGTCAAATTCTTGACTCACAAATTCAAACAGGCGAGAGAAAACTGTCTTGAGACAAACAGCAAATAGGGAAA